GTTATAAATGATAGAAAGACTACTGTTAAGTCAACCAATATCCATGTATGAAAATATAGACCATCAGTTTATAAATAAAGTTCTCATTGTAACAATAAAACTGATGATGATGTTGTTTTTCTATGTTGTTAATTGTCAAAATTAATATTATCTATCACTATCTTGAAGAGTTTAATTTTGTGGTCATTAATATGGGATAGTTCACCCAAAAATGGAAGTTCTGTCATTATTTACTCCCCCTCATGTCGTTCCAAACCTGTGAGACTTTCATTCTTTTGTGGAACATAAAAACAGATATTTTGACAGATGTTTACTTTCCATGGTAACCAAAACTGGTTAGCATAATTTTTCAAAATACAGGTTTGGAATGACATGAGGGTGAGTATATAATGACAGAATTTTTGGGGCATCAAAATTACCTCAAAATTCACTCAAAAGTGTGTTGTGTATATAAATGTGTAAATCGCATACAAACATATAAAACATATAAAATGCATAAATTAATATTTAGTTAAATGTATAAATTTCTCACCTTTTTTCCTGCTTGTAAAGAGCCAGACCAACAAATCTTCATTCCAAAACATGAAGAAAAAACACTTCTTTTGCAAATAAAAATGTTTAATCTAACCTATTTGTAATCCAGTCTTTTTCCTAAAATTCATCAGTGTAAAAATGTTCTCCACGTTTTCTCTCAGGCAAGAACACGTTGAATGGCAGTGCAGTGCTCTACAATCATTTACATAGTGCTTCAGTGCATGCAGACCAGCCTGTACCCACCACAGAACCGGTGGACTGTTGTTTTTATTTGCCTTATCATTTGTTTGTTTCCATCGTCCTTTGTGTCCCAAAGGAAAGCGATGTCTGTCATTAGACATCATTATGACCCATTAACTTGTATTTATCTAAGACTCCCTCCCTTCCTCTGCTCCCACCCTCACTGCTGCCTTTGCCTAAGAATCGGCTGGATTTAAAGAGGTATTGTTTTCTAAGCACAAAGTTTGTTTTTTTCTTTTGAAAGAAATTTCCTCTTTGCACTCCCCTGCCCTTTTGACATTTCAATCGCTATCCTGTCTACGTGCCTCATTTTTTGATTGAGAGCCTCGTCAGCCTGTTTGATGTTATCCATCTTCAGAAGGGGGAATAAAGTATTTTTGACAAATTGTGTAATAAATTGTCATTTGCAATTTTTCCAGATTTACCCCACTGACCCAAAACCACACTCACAGAGCCACCACAACAACAACAACAACTATAAATCTCTATGCTAGTCCCAGCAATCCTTGTACACTGCATGTCACAATTTGCTCTTAAGGTGGGCACATTGTAATTAGCTCCGACAGGTAATCCTTGTCATTAATCCTGCTCTTGGAATTCCTGGAATAGCACAGAGAAAATCCCTGTGCTAAAAGAGGGAAGACTGAGGTATGTCTGGTGTTTCCAAGGGAGTTAAATAAATCCAGGGCGATTAAAGGTAGGGCAGACCTGTATCGAGTGAATGTTTTGGAAAGTTTCAAATGCAGCTTAAGTTCTCATTGTGTGACCCAATGAGAAGACATTTATAGGGACAAGGAAAAGGTCCAGACGAAATGTGAAAGGTCACCTATTTTTTTCTATGAGATGATGAGCCCTATTAGCATTATCGTTTAAATGTCTGCATGTTGTAAATGTCGCACACTAGTAAATAACTGTCCCAGATATTAAACTTGAATTTTGACTGTTGTGTGGTCCATTTTCTAACTTATGTTAACATAAATTCAAACAGCAGGCTAAATGATTTGACACTCTTGAATGTGGCATGACAGCACAAAGCTAAACAAAAAAAAAAGCATCTCTTTCTTTTTTAGGCCTAGTTAATAAACACAAATGCACATTACAAGATACCTTAAATCATCATGTGTATGTATGATGATTATACAATAAAATACAATACAATTTTATTTATATAGCACAATTTAAAAACAACCCAAGTTGACCAAAGTGCTTTACAACACTAGACAAACAAACAATGACCAATTTTGAAGCATACAAACAATAAATGCAATTATACAACACAATAAAGCACAAGCTGTAAACGTGGGTGAAGTTCCTAAGAACAGAATCATTAAACAATAGATCAAGGAATATTAAACGCCATAGAAAATAAATAGGTCTTAAGAGTGGACTTAAAAACAGACAAGGTCGGGGCAGTTCTAATGTGAGACGGGAGACTATTCCATAGTTTTGGACCAACAACAGAAAAAGCACGGTCACCTCTGGTTTTTAGTCTTGTCCTAGGCACTTGCAACATAGCAGAATTAGTAGATCTGAGTGATCTCGATGGACTCGATGACAACTGCATTGGCAGTATACAGAAAAAACACAGAGGTAACACTTTATTTCAATAATCCACAATAGGCATTATACTAACTATAAGTAATTTTGCAACTACAAGTCAACTAGCAGTTATTATAGATTGTCAGCTTATTGCTTAATATTTATTATATTAATAATACACTTTATTTTGATGGTCCCCCAACAGACGTTCTACTGTACTGACTATAAGTAACTTTGCAAGTACATGTCAACTTATTCAACTGACCCTAACCATAAACCTAACCTAACAGCCTACTAATACTCTAATGAGAGTTAGTTCAAATGTCGCTGCAAATTAATAAAAGTTAGTTGACGTAGTTGCAAATAGTTAGTGGAATGTTTAAAGGGGTCATATGATGTGATTTCAAGTTTTCCTTTCTCTTTGGAGTGTTACAAGCTGATTGTGCATAGATAAGATCCCTGAAGTTGTAAAGACTAAAGTCTCAAAACCAAATAATGATCTTTAAAAAAGCATCATATGACCCCTTTAAAATGGACTATTGAAATCAAGTGTAAGCAACAAATCTTAAACACACTTGCTACCAACACACCCCAAAGTGAAGGCGTTGTAATGTTGTAGCAGAGTTTTGCCGCTGCAGTGAAAACACAGTGTGATGGTGCTTCAGAATACCTAAATGAAAGTGTCCAAACTGCAATATTCAAAATATATGCAATATATTTTCAGTGCTCTCAGATGCTCTCAATGCATTCTCCAGTCTGCTGTCAATCCCACAAGCCATGCAAGTGTGTTTTTAGGCTCTCACAGGAATTAACTGAAAATGCCCGCTCTGCTCTACATGACCGTGCCAGTGTAAATGCACTGTAACAATGCAATGTGGCTGGTGATATTAATTGGGAAGTGGTGTGCATGGAGTTAGAGAAGTAGACCCAACATAAGTATACTGTCATTGATATTACGACATATATGTCAATGATATTTACAAATGAACCTAAGCTGCTACTAACAGCCATTAGTCACTGAACCAAACATGCTCTGACGAATTTATTGGATTACCCACAACAGTTTATGTGCAAGTGTCAAAGTTAAGGCCTAAAACCCAGACACATACCATTATGGGCAACATCCAGTCAGTGAGCAGGATAAAGTCATGATGCTTAAGTTTGACACTGAACTGAAAAAGATGCATAATACAGTAAATTAGAAAACATGCACCAGAGAGAGAGAGAGAGAGAGAGAGAGGGCAATAGAACTAATAAAAGACAGATGGCATGAAAAGTTGTAGAGAGGTGAGAAGTACAGGAATAAGATTAAAAGAGGGATATGCTTCCTGGAAAAGAGGGTATATGGCAGATGTCAGGTCCAGGCTTAACTAACCCCATTTACCATATGCAATTGAAATAAAATCAAACACACCCCAGAGGTGTCTTGAATTAACCTCAGTGAACTTGACATCAGACATCAGATTAACATTCAGTGAAAGTGCTGACAGTTCGTGGGATGAATTCAACAGAAGATAAAACAAATAAACCTTATTTTTTAAGCCATCCATTCAACCTATCTGATGTTTCCATTTGTAAACTTTAGTAAGAAACAATGTGTCAAGCTGAGGAAAAATAAGTACGTCTCTACATCAAGGTCTCTATTTAAACATCAGAAAAAGTCAGTTTGTTTGTCTGGATGCCGCTGTCTGTGCCAAAATGCTCTGATGTCACATTAAAGAGGACTAAGACTGTCAAGCAGTTGAGGACATGACTGTATGTTAAGGACTTTTTGTTACTGACATTACTGCGCTTTTCATTTAAGGATAAGCATAGTTTCTATCGCTTATAGTAATTAGTGATATCAGTCAGCTGTGTGATCCAAACAAAATATGAGGGCAAAAAAAAAAAAAAGAAATTTGCACCCAAGGATCTCTGGAGTTAAGCTAAAAAGTTAATTAATTGCGTGAAAAAACAGTACAATTACATCTGATAAATTTGACATATGATACATTTTATCATTTTTTAAAATATGCTATTTGTAACAATAGCTGGAAATTACACTATTATGTAACTCCATGCAATATATAAATTCATAGACACACCTTTTGCTAAGAAAAACAATATTATGCAGTGCAAAACCGTACTGATTTGTGCAACGTTTTCTTGATCATCTCAAATCCATTTTGCAATTTCAACAAAACCTGAAATATTAAATAAAAGATGTTAGATAGCAAAATACAGTAATGTTACAATAGTTACAATGTACAGTAATGTTACAATGACATTTAAGTTAACAAAATTCAAAATAATTTTTGATACGTCACCCAAACTAAATGCTTAATTCATAAGACATAGCATAGATATGATCAACAAGCTTAAGATGTAGTGACAACTGGTCATTTGTCTGGTAAAGCTAAAATGTATGCTTCATTTGTTAAATGTTCTGTTCTGTGTTCTGTGTTATTATTGTAATCATTTATGAAAGGGGACAGTCCCAAGCTGTTGATTTGGGGCACAGAGGCTTAGCCATGTCAAATCCCTCTTTAACGACTTAAACCTGCATTCAAAGGTAACAGCCTAAGTTCACCTGCCCCACCCTCACTCACTCACCCACCCATCAGCATCCAATGTCATTCTTCCCTTTACATTTGAGAGCTTCATTACAACGGGCGCTGTTCTTCCTCTTTTAACACTTGGGTGTTACATCTATCAATCCGTCTGTCTATCATTTCTCAAAAGGAGAACTGAGCACCAAGATTTTATGGGACATTAATTACAGGCACCCAACAAAAGAGACATTCTCTGGGAACATCTCAGCAAGAGCAGCTACATAATACAGTGTATCTCTGGTTGGGTAAGGAGGACCTGACGAACAACACTTCCTGAAGCCCTGCCTGTGCTCTCCACCAGCAGCCAAAAATGGGGAATGCCAAAAGCAGCGCTATGTCCAAGCAGATCCTGGAGGATCTCAAACTCAATACCAAATTCTCAGAGCATGAACTGTCACAGTGGTACGAGAACTTCCAGAAGCAGTGTCCGTCTGGCTGGATCTCACCAGACGAGTTTAAAAAGATCTACGAACGCTTTTTCCCAGACAGTGATGCCGCATCATACGCCCAGCATGTCTTCCGCTCCTTTGACACGAATGATGATGGAACGTTGGATTTCAAGGAATACATTATTGCTCTACATATGACATCAACTGGAAAGACAGAGCGGAAGCTGGAGTGGGCCTTTTCACTCTTTGATGTTGACAAGAACGGCTACATCACCAAGTCAGAAGTGGCAGAAATCTGTCAGGTTGGTCAAACGTTGGTGAACAAGTCTTCATTTGTGGCACTGTTGTGTGGCTTCCCTTCAAAATCATAGCATAAATAAGTGAGTTTGATATTTATGTAGGGAAACCAGGGCTAGTTGTCAGTTTTGCTAAAGATCAAAAGATTATTGAATGCATGTTGATCTTTTGTGACAACATGCCCCTATATGCAGGGTATACTGTCACACTGTATGTTGTCACACAAGGGCAAGTAGTCACAATGGAACCTGCCATTGATTGAACAGCCTATGACATCGACATTTAAGTAAAACAATTGACAAATTACAAGAAAGAAAGAAAGAAAGAAAGAAAGAAATCATTAAATTACATAAACACATGTGACATGCTCAGACAAAAAATGTGACAGTTTACCCCAACCAGATATTTATGATAAACACACTTGTCCTAAAATCACAGTTAAACATTTTGGTTAAACTCTGCCTTAATTATATAGATGACTCTTATCTAAGTAGTCACAATGGAACCTGCCATTGATTGAACAGCCTATGACATCGATATTTAAGTAAAACAATTGACAAATTACAAGAAAGAAAGAAATCATTAAATTACATAAACACATGTGACATGCTCAGACAAAAAATGTGACAGTTTACCCCAACCAGATATTTATGATAAACACACTTGTCCTACAATCACAGTTAAACATTTTGGTTAAACTCTGCCTTAATTATATAGATGACTCTTATCTACATGTATCCCAGTTTGTTTTTTTATAGTGTTCTCTTGTTTAAAGCTGTTACAAATGTTTTAGAAACCAAATTCACAAACCGTTACAAAAAGAAATTTATTCAAGAGTAGTTGTATACTTCTTTTAACCTTAAAATAACTAAGTGTACTATCACTTTCTAATTTGTATGTACTTTGTAGTTGTACACTAGTTGTGTACTCAAAGTTTACTGCTGTGATTAAAAGTATATTAGTATATATTAGTGTAATAGTTTAGTGTTAAATGTAGGACTAGGTGTGTGAGAGAAAACAGGTGTGGGAAATGTTAAAAGTATGCTTTAAAGTATACTTCTATAAACTAAAAAGTGGGCCAATTTAGTCCCAAATAGTATTGAAATAATACACTTACAAGAACTTCACTTAAGTATACTTAATAAAATGAACTTGAAGTATACTTTTTTGTAAAGGAAATTAGTCTGATTTAGTCTGATTAGTCTGACAGTTTTGAAGAAGATGTTTGATACCAGCACACATTTGTGTAAAGGGACATTTGACTCAAATCCTTATAGTTACTAAAATACAGCCATTGTGACAACTTGCCCCAGTCTCTCTTATTTAGTGCTCATGCTAATACATTCTCATCTTTTTCATGATCACGTATAACATATTCTGCATTTAATCACTGAACCAGACATCCAATTTTCCCTCTATTCTCTCTCTGAGTTTTGTTCAGTCAGCAGAACTGAACAGACAAAGAATACAAGAGTGTATTAGTTTAGTGTTAAATGTAGGACTAGGTGTGTGAGAGAAAACAGGTGTGGGAAATGTTAAAAAGTATGCTTTAAAGTATACTTCTATAAACTAAAAAGTGGGCCAATTTAGTCCCAAATAGTATTGAAATAATACACTTACAATAACTTCATTTAAGTATACTTAATAAAATGAACTTGAAGTATACTTTTTTGTAAAGGAAATTAGTCTGATTTAGTCTGATTAGTCTGACAGTTTTGAAGAAGATGTTTGATACCAGCACACATTTGTGTAAAGGGACATTTGACTCAAATCCTTATAGTTACTAAAATACAGCCATTGTGACAACTTGCCCCAGTCTCTCTTATTTAGTGCTCATGCTAATACATTCTCATCTTTTTCATGATCACGTATAACATATTCTGCATTTAATCACTGAACCAGACATCCAATTTTCCCTCTATTCTCTCTCTGAGTTTTGTTCAGTCAGCAGAACTGAACAGACAAAGAATACAAGGCCTCAGTAAAAAGAAAGAAGCCAAATGTCTTATGAGCTTTGACTTAACGAGCCATTGCCTTGGAGCATGGCTAATGCAATTGGTTGAATCCCAGAATAATTCATCCGATAAACGGTTTAGCTTGAACAATAAACGTACGCAGAGGCTTTTTCAAATGCAGACAGCCATTAGCACAGAGACAGGTGGGTGGGGGGATTACAGTGTAAGATACTTTTTTTCTTTTCTTTTTTTAAATGCTGGATAAGTGGGTTGCATAAGTCACAGTAAACAGTGGGAACGTGGCTTAAATTGCGCATTATATATCCAGCAAGACAAACACAAGAAAAAAAAATGTTTCTTCTATGTTTTTTATTGAACAGGAAAAGAGTCATACATCAGGTTGAGAAGTTAAGATACAATATAGAATCAGGGGATACAGTTTCCTTTTCATTGCATTGTTTACTAGTTTAAGGCATTTGTGGATGCATCAAAATGGTTATCCTAACACAGCTACACATCATTAGGTCAGATCAGCATTTGACCTTATGCTCAGGCTTTGTGATCACTAGTTTGGTGGTTTATAAGTATAAATGTCACTGTCATCATGCCAGTGACTGAATGCAAAAGAGCATTAAAGACTGAGCTGTGCTGAGGCCATGCAGTGTGTGTTTTGGCAGGAACTTTGGCACTGCCTCTAATCTGTATTATTCTTACGTGTCCTGTTAGAGATAAACATCTCCACGGCTCACTGGACCACTCAGATCCAGGTCAGCTGTGGTCAGGAAAAACTAAAGTCTATGTAGATGACCCTTGGCGTTAGTGGTCCTAATCTATGATGATAACCTCCAGACCAGCATTATCAGAAGATTTGGCACTCCAATTAACTAATGGATGTGGCTGGCTGTCACAGGGATTTGGGTAAAACATTAGGTTGCCTGCATTGAGATGAGGTGTTTAGTTTTGGTGTGTTTGGGGAAAATGCTATGGCAATTGGAAATGGTGGCTAGACTATATTATTAATATAAAATAATTACACACACACACACACACATTGAGTTTCCAAGTTAAAAAAAAAAAACATTTTGTATGTTTTTAAGCCATTTGGTTCATAAACCATGTTCACTTTGTAATACCTGTCATTATACACACTTGTGTCCTTGTAAACCATATGAACCTGTACACACACACACACACATTCAAATGTATTATCAGAGTTATTACATAACAGAGATTAAATGGCAAATAGCAAGAAATTAATTTTCAGCTTTTAAATTAAAACAAAATAATTAATATTTAAGTAACATATTTTATTATATTAAAATATAATTACAATAATTTAAGTTGTCATTAGGATATGCTTCATAATGGCCAGAGTTTCAAGCCCAGAATGTAAATTGAAAGAGAGATGTTTATTACACAGATTATTATTCTTAGAATTTGTCTTTCCTCCCTCCTCACGTCCACTTTTCTCCCATCTTGTTGAACCTCAGGCTATCTTTAAGCTGATCCCCAAAGATGAACAGGAAAACCTTCCTGCAGACGAGAACACCCCTGAGAAGAGAGCAGACAAACTGTGGTCGTTCTTCAATAAAAAAGATAATGGTAATGTTATGGTTTTTTTTGTTTTTTTTATATAACCTTTTAGTGTTCATATATATCATATGTATTATCTAATATCTGTCATCTATGGACAAACTATAAAAGATTTAAGTGTGTTATTTCAATATATGGTTGCATTTCCTACCTTTATTACAAAGCAAAGATGGCACCATGGTAAAGTAATGTCAAAAGGCTGCTGTTAAAAGACTGAATAAGTGAGTTTGTCCAATAACATTGAGTGTTGTCACTCTATATTTGTTTCAGAGCGATTGGCTGAGGGTGAGTTTATTCAAGGCATTCTTGACAATGAAGACGCGATCCACCTTATTCAATATGAGCCCAACAAGTAATAACAAAACAAGAACAAAAGCACTGTATTTTGCTGTCATATCATTTCCTTTGGCCATGTGCTTTCCCCCTTTTTCTTTTTTCCCCATTTTGTTTGTTTTTAACTTTTACCCCTTTAACCTGGGCAGATCGGTCCTGTTTCTTGTATTAGTGTGACATGAATCATTTTGTAAATATTTGAAAGCCCATTAACTTCAATATGTTTCGAGTGAGTTGTGATAGACAGAATGAGGATAGATTAAAGTGATAGTAAAATGTGGCATCTGGGAACATGTATGTCGACCGAAGAAGAGTTTCTGGCAGATTATGATACTCTTGAGCTGAAAGCAAACATTTTCTTTATGAATCAAAGCGAGAAGAAAATAATGTATGTTTTTCTTGTAAAAGAAGTAAAATACAGATGAAAGCCAATAAAGCCACTAGGCTGTGTGGAAAAACAAAAAAAAAGATAGGCTAATTTCGTTCAGATTTATCCAGGATGATAGTACAAAAACGTTTGCCATTTATATTATACAAATCTGTTTTTTTATGTCAACTGCTGTGGAATAAAACTGACACTGTAAAAGGTACTAAGAGTTTCACGTTTTTGAGGCTGTATGTGTGAATTTGTGCGTAATTTATTCGGTGAGGTGAAGAGTTCAAGCACTATGTAACTTTTTCTGTGTTCAAAATTTGCAAAATGTATATAATGAGCGAGTACATCATGAATTCATCTTCCAAACCGCGTTTTGTCTTATTCCGAATCACTACGGTACACTTATAATACGTACTTATATTTGGACTATTGTAGCCTGGTCGGGTCGTCACCGCTGCGGAGTAACACATACCTGCGTGAATCGCCATTGACATAAATTTAAGAGAAGTAGCTCCGGTTGGAATGTTCTTCCGCGGGATGTGTGCAGTTCTGTTTATTAACCGCTAGAGCGCCAAAAATTACATAGTGCTGCTTTAATCTCTAACGGTCTGCTAGCGGGCGAGAGGTTTAAAGGGATAGTTCACCCAAAAATTAAAATTTAATGTTTATCTGGTTACCCCCAGGGTATCCAAGATGTAGGTGACTTTGTTTCTTCAGTAGAACACATATGATGATTTTTAAGTCCAACCGTGAGGTGTGTAGCGCTCTGGCGTAGTTTACGCAAGCACCGGAAGTGATCTCTCACGTATATACGTCACTCATTGTTTACACAGTGCACGGTCATTGTAGGTACAACGGCTAATCAAAATGGTACTTACTTGCGCTTATCCGGATTGTTCAAACCGACTTAAAACTAAAAGATTACGTTCTCTCGCGCGAACTTATTCGGGAGTGGTGACTTTCCACGTATTCCCAACTTCTGAGCCTGCTCTCCTGAAGTTATGGTTGATTGCTCTTCGGCTGGATATCAACACACCCATTAACGTAAACTACGCCAGAGCGAATGGAAAAAAAGAATTTCTCACACAATTACACACACACACACATTGAGTTTCCAAGTAAAAAAAAAAAAACATTTTGTATGTTTTTAAGCCATTTGGTTCATAAACCATGTTCACTTTGTAATACCTGTCATTATACACACTTGTGTCCTTGTAAACCATATGAACCTGTACACACACACACACACATTCAAATGTATTATCAGAGTTATTACATAACAGAGATTAAATGGCAAATAGCAAGAAATTAATTTTCAGCTTTTAAATTAAAACAAAATAATTAATATTTAAGTAACATATTTTATTATATTAAAATATAATTACAATAATTTAAGTTGTCATTAGGATATGCTTCATAATGGCCAGAGTTTCAAGCCCAGAATGTAAATTGAAAGAGAGATGTTTATTACACAGATTATTATTCTTAGAATTTGTCTTTCCTCCCTCCTCACGTCCACTTTTCTCCCATCTTGTTGAACCTCAGGCTATCTTTAAGCTGATCCCCAAAGATGAACAGGAAAATCTTCCTGCAGACGAGAACACTCCTGAGAAGAGAGCAGACAAACTGTGGTCGTTCTTCAATAAAAAAGATAATGGTAATGTTATGTTTTTTTTTGTTTTTTTTTTATATAACCTTTTAGTGTTCATATATATCATATGTATTATCTAATATCTGTCATCTATGGACAAACTATAAAAGATTTAAGTGTGTTATTTCAATATATGGTTGCATTTCCTACCTTTATTACAAAGCAAAGATGGCACCATGGTAAAGTAATGTCAAAAGGCTGCTGTTAAAAGACTGAATAAGTGAGTTTGTCCAATAACATTGAGTGTTGTCACTCTATATTTGTTTCAGAGCGATTGGCTGAGGGTGAGTTTATTCAAGGCATTCTTGACAATGAAGACGCGATCCACCTTATTCAATATGAGCCCAACAAGTAATAACAAAACAAGAACAAAAGCACTGTATTTTGCTGTCATATCATTTCCTTTGGCCATGTGCTTTCCACCTTTTTCTTTTTTCCCCATTTTGTTTGTTTTTAACTTTTACCCCTTTAACCTGGGCAGATCGGTCCTGTTTCTTGTATTAGTGTGACATGAATCATTTTGTAAATATTTGAAAGCCCATTAACTTCAATATGTTTCGAGTGAGTTGTGATAGACAGAATGAGGATAGATTAAAGTGATAGTAAAATGTGGCATCTGGGAACATGTATGTCGACCGAAGAAGAGTTTCTGGCAGATTATGATACTCTTGAGCTGAAAGCAAACATTTTCTTTATGAATCAAAGCGAGAAGAAAATAATGTATGTTTTTCTTGTAAAAGAAGTAAAATACAGATGAAAGCCAATAAAGCCACTAGGCTGTGTGGAAAAACAAAAAAAAAAGATAGTCTAATTTCGTTCAGATTTATCCAGGATGATAGTACAAAAACGTTTGCCATTTATATTATACAAATCTGTTTTTTTATGTCAACTGCTGTGGAATAAAACTGACACTGTAAAAGGTACTAAGAGTTTCACGTTTTTGAGGCTGTATGTGTGAATTTGTGCGTAATTGATTCGGTGAGGTGAAGAGTTCAAGCACTATGTAACTTTTTCTGTGTTCAAAATTTGCAAAATGTATATAATGAGCGAGTACATCATGAATTCATCTTCCAAACCGCGTTTTGTCTTATTCCGAATCACTACGGTACACTTATAATACGTACTTATATTTGGACTATTGTAGCCTGGTCGGGTCGTCACCGCTGCGGAGTAACACATACCTGCGTGAATCGCCATTGACATAAATTTAAGAGAAGTAGCTCCGGTTGGAATGTTCTTCCGCGGGATGTGTGCAGTTCTGTTTATTAACCGCTAGAGCGCCAAAAATTACATAGTGCTGCTTTAATCTCTAACGGTCTGCTAGCGGGCGAGAGGTTTAAAGGGATAGTTCACCCAAAAATTAAAATTTAATGTTTATCTGGTTACCCCCAGGGTATCCAAGATGTAGGTGACTTTGTTTCTTCAGTAGAACACATATGATGATTTTTAAGTCCAACCGTGAGGTGTGTAGCGCTCTGGCGTAGTTTACGCAAGCACCGGAAGTGATCTCTCACGTATATACGTCACTCATTGTTTACACAGTGCACGGTCATTGTAGGTACAACGGCTAATCAAAATGGTACTTACTTGCGCTTATCCGGATTGTTCAAACCGACTTAAAACTAAAAGATTACGTTCTCTCGCGCGAACTTATTCGGGAGTGGTGACTTTCCACGTATTCCCAACTTCTGAGCCTGCTCTCCTGAAGTTATGGTTGATTGCTCTTCGGCTGGATATCAACACACCCATTAACGTAAACTACGCCAGAGCG